TTTCCAACCAGGCCGTCAGCATCGTACTATTAAAGGAAGAACTTGGGGAGCAGTAACCAGTTTATTATGTAAGCAAAGCAATGGTTGATGTCGAAACATGTTACGTTCCGTTGGAAAAACTTGTCCTTGCTCTCGTCATGACAGCAAGAAAACTGATGCATTACTTTCAGGGGCATACCATTGGGGTACTAACGGACTACCCCATCCGGTCAGTACTTTGTAGTGCAGAAGCATCAGGGCACGTTTCAAAGTGGAATCTCAAAGTCGGCTAGTACGATATTCAATTTCTGCCTAGGACCTCAATCAAGGGGCAAGTGCTCGCTGACTTTGTGGCCCAATTCACTGGAGGCCTCGCCGACTTCAAGTCTGATCAAATTCAACATAAGCTGAACTGGAGAATTGATGTTGGGGACATTTGGCAGTTGTATTGTGACGGATTGTAAAACCAACGTGGCAGTGGGGCAGGCGTAGTGATCATGGCTCCTGATGGGACAATAATCGAGCAGGCTGTCAAACTGGGCTTCGAAGCATCGAACAATGAGGCCGAATATAAAGCATTGTTAACCAGCTTACGAAATGCACTTCTCCTTGGTGCTCGGCGTCTACTTATCTTCTGCGACTCAAAACTAGTCATCAACCAATTAAAAGGGGAATATGCAGCCAAAAATGACCGTACGGCAAGTTACATGAAAATGGCAAATTTTTTGTTGGCAAAATTCGACCATCATGAACTAAATCAAATAACCCGGTATCAGAACACACACGCCAACGCCCTAGCTTGCCTAGCCTCAGCCATCAACTCAAAGGTTAAACGAACAATTGAAGTAGAATTCATCCCTGAGTCGAGCATTGCCCCCTCAGAGTCAAGTTAGATCAATATCATAGAATCAGGTCCAAGTTAGATGGATCCTATCATTGCATTTCTTTCTTCCGAACAGCTCCCGACGGACAAGAAAGAAGCACACAAACTGCGAAACAAAGCCCTGCGATATTACCTAGATCCGCAGGGAAAGATCTACAAAAAATCCCTTTTTGGTCCATACCTAGAATGCGTTCATCCGGATAAGTCGAAGAACTCTTGACTGAAATACACGAAGGTAGTTGCGGTGCCCATTCTAGTGGGCATTTTTTGGCTCATCGAGTTGTAACACAGGGGTACTACTGGCCGACCATGAGAGCTGATGCTGAGTGTTACATTAAGAAATGTGAACAGTGCCAGAAGTTTTCCCCTTTAACCCATTTGCCTGTTGAGGAGTTGAGCTCAATCACCAGCCCTTGGCCGTTTGCTCAATAGGGGCTTGATATAATCGGGCAATTGCCACGAGCCCCAAGGAACAAACGATTCTTGATAGTCGCGACAGATTACTTCACAAAATAGGTTGAAGCAGAGCCATTAACACACATTTGAGATACTGATGTTAGGCATTTTGTATGGAAGAATATCATAACACGATTCAGCATTCCAAGAGCACTCATTTCAGACAACGACACCTAGTTTGATTGTGGAGTCTACCGAGAATTATGCAGCACGTATGGTATTCGGCCTTATTTCTCCACCCCGGCTTATCCACAGAGCAATGGTTAAGCTGAAGCATCCAACAAAGCCATCTTGGACGGCATCAAGAAGAGGCTGGAGAAAGCTAAAGGTAGATGGGTCGAAGAATTGCCGAGTGTATTGTGGGCTCATCGCACTACTCCGAGGCGATCCACTGCGGAAACGCCATTTGCTTTATGCTTCGGAACCCAGATAATCATCCCCCTGGAGATTGACCTCCTATCCTTGAAATTGAAAGTTTTTGATATAGGCCGAAATGACAAGATGTTGGCCTTGGATTTGACTCTGATTGAAGAACGATGAGACCGTGCCCTTACATCCATGGCACGGTACCAGTAACAGCTTGCTAAGTTGTATAATCAACGTGTTCATCTACGTCGTTATACACCAAGAGAATTAGTCCTCATGAAAGTACTCCCAGCTGCCAGGAATCCGACTGATGGAAAACTGGGTCCTGACTGGGACGGCCCCTATCAGATCGATTTAATCGCGGGAACAGGGGCATATTGGGTCAAAGACATGTCCGGGAGAAGTCTGCCGCGTCCTTAGAATTCCACGCATTTGCGTAAATTTTATCATTCACCCGACTTATGGGGTATGATAACTTGTTTTGAATGTTTGCGGTGTACAAACTTTCACTTTTATAATGCAAGGATACAAATTTCACTATATGAAATTTTAGTTTGAAGATGAAAGCCTCCGAATTCGGAGCCCCATCAGTGAATGACATTTATGGGCTGAGTGAGTCTCCGGATTCAGAGCGCCCTTCGTGGAATTCACGATTGGCCAAGTTAAAAAAGCCTCTAAATTCGGTGCCCCATCTGTGCAAGACATGTTTGGGCCGAGTAAGCCTACGGATTTGGAGCGCCCTTCGTGGAATTCACGATTGGCCAAGTTAAAAAAGCCTTCGAATTCGGAGCCCCATTAGTGAATGACACTTTTGGGCCAAGTGAGCCTCCGAATTCATAGCGCCCTTCGTGGAATTCACGATTGGCCAAGTTAAAAAAGCCTCCGAATTCGGAGCCCCATCCGTGCAAGACACGTTTGGGCCAAGTAAACCTCCGGATTCGGAGCGCCCTTCGTGGAATTCACGATTGGCTAAGATAAAAGCCTTCGAATTCGGAGCACCATCAGTGAATGACACTTTTGGGCCGAGTGAGCCTCCGGATTCGGAGCGCCCTTCGTGGAATTCACGATTGGCCAAGTTAAAAAAGCTTCCAAATTCGGAGCCCCATCTGTGCAAGACACGTTTGGGCCGAGAAAGCCTTCGGATTCGGAGCGCCCTTCATGGAATTCACGATTGGCCAAGTTAAAAAAAAAAAAAACAGCCTCCGAATTCGGAGCCCCAACAGTGAATGATACTTTTGGGCCGAGTAACCCTCCAGATTCGGAGTGCCCTTCGTGCAATTCATGATTGGCCAAAGCCTTCGAAGTCAGAGCCTCATCTGTGCAAGACACGTTTGGGCCAAGTAAGCCTCTGGATTCTGAGCGCCCTTAGTGGATTTCACGATTGGCCAAGATAAAAGCCCCCGAATTTGGAGCTCCTTCTGGGGCGCCCTTCATGGAAACCACGTTTGGCTGAGGCAAAACACATCCGAATTCGGCATGCTTTTTATGAATATTATGATTAACAAGCATAAACACAGTTGACCAAAAATGAAAGATGATCGATAATATGCTTAAACATAAATTGAAACAACATGCAAACATTTAAAATAATATGTTTTATTGAATTAATCGATAATACATAATTTGCTCCCAATCTACGTCAGAACGGTACAATATGTTCAGTTTTATTCAGCATCCCCCTCGTCATCGCTCTTCTTAACTTCGAAAGCCGCAAAGGGAAAATGATGGCTCTGATATAATGGAGATGCCGAATCAACGCCTACTACCCAGACAGCCTCTGCAGCCTGGAGTGCCTTGGCCCACCCGTGCTTAAATCCACGGTTCTGGCATCGGTAGACCTCCTCGACGAGCTTTTCCTTAGACCTCTGTATCCCAACTTTTCCGGCCATCGGGGAAGCCTTGCTCATAAGACCTGGTCTTTGCGGCCTCTATTGCAAACATGTTTGCCTTATCATGATCGGTAATCGTATGACTTATAAGTCGTTTGGTCACCATTTCTTCCACAATCGGGTTAGCTTGTCTGGCCGATTATGTCTTGGCGGTTTTGACCTTTCTTAGTTCGCGTTCAGCCTTCTTTGCGCAAGCTTCTAAGCTTCGAATGCGCTCATGCTTCTACTCTATCTCCCGCCGCATGGCACGAAGAGACATGCCGATTTCATAGGCGGTATACAGCCCTTTCGTCGCTCCATGGATGCCCTCCCGAAACACTTCGAAATCAGGTCGACCGACCATCGACTGCTGGACTTCTGGTGGAAAAATTTGTTGAGTAAACTCAATTGCCACATTTGGGCCATGCACAATTGAATCCGCTTCCGTCATCGGTTTGTTCCCCACAAAAACTGTAAAACTCAACGGGCGTGGAGTCGCACTGGTTTCTCCTCTCGAGTGTGATTGAGGAGAGCTGCCTCATTGCTGTTTTTCCCTTCTGGGTGACCTACTTCGACGACGCAGGGACTGGCCTTTTTCATGTTCCCTCGACGTCCTACTTCTCGTGCACGTTGGCTCGCCACCTCGATTCATCTCTACGTCCAGCTACGCGAGTGTCCTCCCTTCTCTTCTGCTCTTGAAGAATAATCTTCTTGCCATCCACAAATTGTCAACACTGTTGTTTCTCTCCGCGCACCCACCACCCACCCCATTTATACCTTATAGGTGAAGCACCCTCGAGAAGATCTCATCAATGCTAAATTTCAAAACCTGGTGCCGATCATCACATTTGCCCCTGCCCCTCCAGGAGCTAATTTCATTCGGCGTTCAAGTTCATGCACCAGTTGGGGTAAGGGCAGATTCATTAATCTAATCTGCCAAATGTCCAGGCCTGGTGCTGAGCACGTGGTGCCTCAGCCGTTCCATCAGCTAATATCATTCGACGTTCCAGTTCATGCACATGCCGCTCAATGAGCTAATTTCATTCGACGTTCCAGTTCATGCACCAGCTGGGGCAAGGGCAAATTCATTAATCTAATCAGCCATAGGGCAAGCCTTTGCACTGATCGGGTTAAGTGCCCCAGCCGCTCCATGAACTTATTGCATTCGGCGATTGAGTTCGTGTAGCTGGGGTAGATTCATTAATCTAATCGGCCAAACATCGAGGTCTTGAGCCGTTTTACTCGTTAGTTTGTCGAATATTCATGCACATTTCCAAATTGTTAACTACCGATTCTTTTAGTTATTCGGCTAAATAGCAAATAGGCAGAGGATGTTTAATTGATTCGGTTAATTTATTGGATATTTAATTTACTCATATATAGCAAACAAAAAAGCATAAGGAATTGTCATTCATAAATTAAAGACAAATAGCATATGCAGTAAACTGGAAAGCATAGAAAATTTTTATTAATAAATTGAGCGCAAATGGTAGTCATTTTACACATGAAAATTAGTTTACACTTAAAGAAATGAAAATCTACTAACAAAAACCTACAAAAACTATGCATCTAAGATGCTTACCAAAAACCAAAATATCCCCTAATCAATCTTCAGGGTCAGACGCCAACGGCTCAACGTCCACCTGCTCGTATGGAATCGACTGTGCTAATGTCACATTCACAGCAGTGAGGGCTTTGAGCCAGCCGTGTTTGAAGCCCTGATTCTCGAACTTGGGCACTTCTTCTACGTAGTTTTCCAAGGCGGCGTCCTTCCCAACTTGGAACACTTTGGAAATCTCGAAGTCGGCTATTTTCTTTGCCTTCCTTGAATCTTCCAAGTCAGCTTCCAGCTTGGTGATCACCTCCTTGGCTAACTTGAGCGCTTTTTCACTCGCTTTTGCTCTCTCTTCGGTGGCAAGCCTTAGTTGGTTGGAATTCCTCGCTCGCTCGGCCTCAGAGTCAGCTCTCGCACGTTCCTCCGCCGTTTGCGATGCCTCGAAATCGGATCTTTGAGAGGCTACCACATCCTTGCTCTTTTCATTGTCAATCTTGACTTTCAAGAAGCCGATCTGTTCTATAGCGTCATGTTGATGGCGGCCGATTTCGACTATCTTGCCCACCATCTGCAAAATAAGGAAATAGAGTTACAACAAACAAATAATAAGAAATATATATATATATATATATATGTATTTAGGCGGAAGACTACAGATAAGGCAAGTAATGTACCAACAAGGTCGACTGAGTGGCTGAAGCAATTAGCATTAGATCTGGATCCACCCGAAATGTGGCTCTGTCAACTGACAAGGATATTGAGGAGGCCATACTCAAAGCCATAGCGGGGTCTTTCAAAGCCGATGCATAAGAGGCAATCGACATATTCCTTATCCTTGGTTAAAAGTGAACAAAACAACAAAGTCCAATTCCTAAATGCGCGGCCGTTTATCGCTTTGGTCTTCATTAAGGATGGCTTCTTGCTCGGCGGGGCACTTTTCTGCCCTTTGCTCAGCCTTCATATCCCCCTATTCTACCTGCTCTGTCTCGACCATTTCGGTCTGAGCCGTTTCTTCCGCAATAACAGACAGAGAGGACTCAGCGACGGTGGCGGGTGGAGTTTCTGATCGGATGGCCTCGGCTCTCCTCCGAGCGGCCATCCTTTCGGAATTTTTCCTTCTGGCAAGTTGCGTGAGCGATTCCCCAGCCATATTCTCAAGATAAGCGTCGGGAAGGTCTCCTTAGTTTGTAAAAATGTCTTCGAATGAGATGTCCACTCGGCCTGATGTGGATGGAGGGTCGGACGAATTGAGTCCGGCTTCCTCAAAGGCCAAGTTAAGAGCCTCGTCTACCTCAGCTTCCAACTGGTTCGGGTCATCGGTGACCACATCGGCTGCTTGTTCTTCCACGTGCTCCGAATCGGAGGCTTCCAAACCAATCTGCCTTAGGTTTTTGAAGTTGGGGAAGATAAGGGCTGTAAGATGCTTTTCGCCTCTCGAAATTAGAATGTGGTTTGCCACCAAAAACGTTGCGTAAGTCGGCTCGTAACGCAGGAGAATATGGGTCACCCTCCCTTGTTTCTGAAGGCTTGGACGGCCAATAAATTGTAGTGCGGTTTTAATTTCCGCAAGTACAGCGTCGTCGGCTAAAACCAACTCTTTTTTCAAATCGTTGCTTGCATAAACAAAACAGTAAGAACATAGAAGGAAAGTCGAATAGATATATGATAATAAAAAAACAAAAATGAGCTATACGGTCACCTGGTTTGCCTTTTCGCCTTGGCACAGGATCTAGGCGATCTTCACCCTCGCCGAATTCCCAATTGCCTCGAACAACGACCATTACATTATCAACACGCTTGGCAAAGCTGGCAAGCATAGTCACTAAGTGATGATCGATATCCTTAGCCCTGAGAAAATAACGTCCCAGTCGGCCAGTAGACTTGGCTAAGGCATAACAATGTCGAATTGCAGGTATACCAAGGTTAATCCTAAGGCATCGGTTCAACTCTAAAATACCCATTATGATTCGGAAAAAATTCACGTTAGGTTGGGAAGGGATTAAACCCCAGTGTTGAAGGACGACCTTTAAAAATGGATGAAGGGGAAAACGGACTCCACCCTCAGCAATCGATAGGAGAGGAAAGATGATTGTACTCTCATTAGTCTTCTCCATCAGTGGTGCTGTCTGCCACGAGTGATAGATGGACGTCGTTGAGGATGGAATAATGGTGTCAGAAGCGGAAAATTCGATCCGCAGAAAGAAGTTCTTTCAAATGTTTTGCCATCCTAGCCAGCCTAAGCATTATGCAAAACTAAAAATAAACAAGAAAATGGGATTCGAAGTGAAGGAGAAGAAAGCTTACAAGAAGCAGAAGAGACAATGAGAAACAGGAGGAAGTTGTAGAGGTCGTGAAATGGAGGTATATCGAAAGGCAAACTAGAAGCTTTGAATATTCAAAAAGAACTTACATTCGAAGGGACAACATAGTTTCAAATCGCATTAAATGAAGAAAGTGTACGAAGAGGCTGGAAGATGTAATAATGCCTAAAAAGTGTGTGCTCTGACATACGTTGGAATGAGGTTAGCTGCCGTTCTTTCTTTGACTTTTCAAATTCAAAACCAAACATGCCGTTCTAAACCAAACATGTTGACTAACTGGTGTTAATAGGATGTTTGGGGGGCAATTGTGGGAGACGAATATTGTGCGGGCAATAATGCTGAATAATGGTATGAGGACAGTCAAGGGCGAAATTTTTATTCGGCATTGATCCTAGACGATCACAGAGCCGAATAGACTAATCGTCCAACCAGCCAAACAAAAGTCGAATAAATGAACGTGTAATGGAATAAGGGCGGGCTCGACCTTAAGGCCCAAAGGGAAAAATATAAATAGAGGAGCATCAGCCAAAAAAAGGTATGTGAGAAAAAGTTTAACTTGAGATATAAGCAACCAAGAGAGTATACACTAACTTATCCGTCGGAGTGCTAATTCCAACACTCCCAACCGTAGTGTTCATTCCTTTTCAAGTGACTAGTTGAGGATCACGAGCGTCTTACAGGATCCAAAGAGTATTTCCGAACCACTTCTCCACAGATACCATATTATTAGACAACCCATTTAATAAAAGTGACTCGAGAGACGTCAAATTTTGGAGCTCAAGCCTGTTCCTGTTTAGAACTGAAAGACTCTCAAAATTTGTGCAATTCTAGATTTCTAGAGATCGAAGCTTAGGAAAAAATCCAAGCGGCGTGGATTTTAGAGCATCACAACAGTCTAAGGACAAAGTTTCAAAAGACGTGTAACAATTCTCTATCTCCTCAACTATGAGGAACACTAGATTCGGACAGCTCACAACAAAAAGTTGTTTCAAATGGTTAAGGCAATTTTTGAGAGGAATCATTCCCATCGGCAATGACTTTATAGCTTCACAATCGATGATTGAAAGGTGTGTAAGCATAGGCAGCAACCCTGTATCTAGAAATGACAATAGGTTTGGACATTCCTTTATCTTCAAGCCCTTCAAATTTGTTAGAATGCACAACTCCGGTATCAATTCCTTTAAACTAGGCATATTCGAAATCTCCAATTTTACAAGGGAAGCTATACCATGCCATTCCAATTCTACCCCATCACATCCCTTCAATACTAATAATTTACATGTGTTTGCACCTGCATCACAAGCCTTTGGAAATGGAGCCATAAGTTTTGAGCATTCTCGAATCTCAAGTCTCACCAAAGATGGAATGCTTTGGGTAAACCCCCAACAAGCTTCGGACACTCGACTACACAAAGTTCTCGAAGTCGCGGGAACTATCCAGCACCTAATATATGCCATTCCACCCACTCCAAAATTTCACAAAATATAAGATGCTCCAAAGATTGAAATGGTTTGCTTAAAGAACCATTTCCATAGAATTTGTGGTCCACTTTTTTAATTCCCTGCATCCTTGCAATAATTAGGTGTCTCAAGAAGGGCAGCTGAGCAAGTGATGGTAAGGAAAAGTAGTACTCGCAATTATCAAGACATAAAGACACTATATTACAGAATGATAGATCTTCCAATCAATCCGGAAATCTTGTGCCTCCATAGTTTTTTATCATAAGGTGCTTCAAGTTTTTATGAGGTCGTAGCTTGTCAAGTACATCTCTCTCATTCAGTGAATCATTTGTGGTGCTATCCCATTTCAACACTAACATTTCAAGGTACATTTTCTCCTCCAATTTTGCCTCCATTGCATGCATGCCACTTGTTATATTTTGCAAATTTGAAATAGAGAGTGTCTTGCGAAGATCACGAAACTCCTTCAACTCTTCAATACCTAACCCCCTGCACTTGCCCACCACAAAGGCAGTTAAATGTTGGAGACCTTTTAATTGACTCATTTGCATTGGCATCTCCTGTAAATTAGTCCCAGTAATATCAAGATGGCGCAAGCAGATTAGTTTTCGAAGCTCTACCGGCAAGGTTGTTAGATGACAGACAATTATATAGCAACATTGTTTCTAAATTGTGCATAGTACAAACAGATTCAGGCAACTGTGTGATTTTCATGTAAGAAAGATCCAAATAACGTAGATGTAGTAAATTTCCAATTGAATGAGGCAATTCCATAATCTCATGACATGACAAAGACAACACCCGTAAGCATGTTAGTCTTGGAAAAATATCATCCAAGACCTTTTTGCTTAACCACAGTACAGGTTGGTCGGTTGCCCTCATTGGTAACAAAGTCCTTAAAAACTTGCCTCATTAATTATCTTGAATTTTTCACAACCATCAAATCTGCCTTTAACACATGAGAAATGGCATATCCTTTCGGATATACAACGTGGCTTGTCATCCTCTAATCTATAACAGAAGTTTCCAGACACAGAATTGGCTAAATCATTAAGACGATCATGCATGACAAAATAATATTTATTAGCACTTGACTGCTGAAAAAATTGCTGAAAAAATGACCTTGATAGCAGTTCGTGGAAGTACTCATAACCTACCTCTTCCTTTGTTTTATTACTTTTGGGTTGCTCAACAAAACCTTCAGCCATCCATATGAGGACTAATTCATGCATTTCAAATTGATAATCTTTAGGAAATATGGAACAATAAGTAAAAACATCTCTTTAAATGTGAAGGGAGGTAACGATAGCTCAATTTCAAGGCCGGAAGAATATTGCTTTTCTCCTTTGGCAAATTTCAATATATTATTCCAATCCTTAACATCCCGTTTAGAGCACAAAAGACCGGCTAATGTTTTTTTCAGCTAGAGGCAAACCTTTACACTTTTTCATGATGTCTTTACCAATACTTTCAATGTTTGGATGTGAACCACAATCTCGCTTCTCAAATGCATGTTTAGCAAACAATTTCCAGCAATCTTCATCTGATAATTGCTGCAAACGATGAATTGGAACTGTTTGCATAATAGATGAAACGCTCTCATTGCACGTTGTAACAATAACCCTGCTTCCATGTCCTCCATATCTAAAGGGACTCCTCAAGATATCCCAGTGATCATAGTTCTCATTCCAAACATTGTCTAGAACGATAAGAAATTTCTTCCCACTCAAGCATTCCTTGAGCTTGACTTGAAGGTCATTAACTTCCATTTTACTTAGGACCATTGTATCAGAACTCTGCGGAATGACTGCCTCAAGAATTGTTCTTGTAACCCTTACAACATCAAATTCATTAGAGACACAAAGCAATGCTTTCATATCAAAGTGATCATCCACTCTGCCATCATTGTACAAAAATTGAGCAGGGGTGGTCTTGCCAACCCCACCCATCCCCACTATTGTAATCACATCTATCTTCTGATTACCACTACTTGCCTCCTCGTTGGAGACCAACAACAACTTAATTATATCCTCTTTGTCATCATCCCTTCCATAAACACCATATTCATCCACCAAGCAAGTTGTTGGCAATCTGTCTGACCATTTTTTCCCAACATCTTTGGTCATCAAACCAAGGACATCTTTTTCTTTGGCTTTAGTTTAGCAATAATCCCCTTTATCCTGGACTCTATATCAGCATCAAATGAACTAGAGGAGGAGGAAGTCAAGGTTGGGCTTCTTACCTGGTTTGGGCCACTTTGGTACTCTTGTTCATCAGATTTGCATCGCAAAGCTTCAGTAGCAATATCATCCAGTAAATCATCAGCATGATATACAACATCTTTAAGTTCATCCAACCAATCTTTTACCGCTGGATTAGTGATCTGCTCGTCCTCTGCATCATCAAGCACAGCATTGAGTCCCAACAGTCGTAATTTGAGTTTCTTGAGGAGTTCATGATCGTGCTTTCGAGCTCGGAAGAAGTTCACGAGCTCAGGAGAAGCCAAACGGTCAAACAGAACTTGAAGGCTAGCAGATAGAAATCCTCCAACCAAGGCGGCAGCCATGTTTTTTTTATTTTTATTTTTCTTTGGGTTGCTGTGTTGAAGAAAGAGAGGTCAAAGAGATCAGGAAAAAGAAGGAAATAGGGAGTGAAAGACATCAAATTTGGTTTGCTCACTCAAAAGGAAAAAATTATTTCATGGGAACACGTGTGAGACCCACACAAAGATTTTGTTACAACCTTTCAATTTGTTTCAAGAGGAAAATGTGAAAAGCTGAAACAATTATTCAATGACACAAAAACATTGAGTTTATTTTTTTTAATAATCTAAAAAAAAATGTTTAGAGAACTTATTCATTTTTTAAATTATTTGAAAAACTAATCTGCTATTAAAATCGTATTAAAATCGTATTTTAAAAATATAATTTTGAAATTGAAATTGTATTTTTAACATGCAATTTCACATTGAAATCGCATGTTGAAAATTAGATTTCAAGTCATCATAAATTGTATTTTCAACCTGCGATTTCAAGACGAAATTGCATGTTGAAAATGCAATTTCAATTTCAAAATCGTATTTTTAAAATGTGATTTTTAAAAATAGATTAGTTTTTTAAATATTTTAAAAAAAAGGCTCCAAAAATATTCATGTAATCATGTCATAAATCAATCTCAATCATTTATTAATGTCGGATCTATTAAATCTTACACCAATAAACAATTAAGATTAATTTGTCACATCGCCATAATAATTTTTCGAGAAGCTGTTATGAACCAACTCGTCCCATTATTATTGTGTTGTTCTGGTCAACCATCATCAATGCACTGTTCTCATTTCTGCTCTAATACGGACCCACGCGGCTATCATCTACCTACCAAAATAAAGCTATGAAGACCAACAAACAACAATTATTAGTAGATCATTGTTGTTCTGGTTAAAAAATTAGATTAATTTTTCAAGATTTAGTAATATGCTAAAAAGATAATTATTTGATAATTATTTAATTATTAATTAATTATTTTTTTGATATATTATTGAGTCTAAAAATATAGTTAAAAAATAAATTTATATATTATTTTTCTTATTATTATTAGAGGGAATTATCTGTCACCGGAAAGAAGGGGAAAACAACTGGAATTGTCCCATGGAGTGCCAAAAATAAATAAATAAATAATACAAAGACAATAATCTTTCTTGAATAACGGACATTTATATTATTGAGAAAGAAATACCGAAAATTTGTAAATTGAATCAGTCCAGATTAATTTGGTATATGGTTTGGTTTTTTTAATTTATGGTTCAGTCTTAAAACAATAGGAAATCAGTCTCCATGGATTAATTTCAGATTTAGATCCACAATTCTGAATTTGAAGCGAATCAGACCCTATAACTTAAATCATATATGTTTATTTACTAGATATTATGTTTATTTAAATTAATGGTAGAATAATGTGCATGTTTATGTTTTGAAAGTTTATATTTCGAAAATAATGACAAATTAATGTTGAACAATGTTTGCTTAATATTATTTTTTTCTTAACTGATGAATATTATGATAATAGTTTGTTTAATTTGTATGTCATTATTATTATTTTTTTAAATTTATGATAGATTGAATTTTTTAAAAATATTATAGGATTTTTTTTAATAAATAAATTATGTGAAATTGTGATTTTCAAATTAAATCAAACCGTGTTTAAATAGTTTGGTTCAAATTGATTTCATGATTTTAATAGTTTGAGTTGGTACTATTTTTATGAAATGATAGACAATGAATTGATAATGTTCATCCTTTTTTTCAACATAAACTTCTCTCCCTTTCTTTCATTTTAATGTTCATCCTTTCAAAATTTATGGCACATGGTCATACGATACATTTATATGTCTACACGATCCTTCTACCTTGCTTAGTTGAATTAAATAAATTTGTATCCTTTTTTACTACAGATTCATAATTTTAGTAAAGTTGATCCATCTTTGAGGTGGCTTGGCTCTCTTGAAAGATGTTAAAATTGTGAATACAATATTCTTTTGGTGAGCTTAATGGGTGCTAAGAGGCATCAAGGGCATGTACTTTGCACCCTTAGTGCATGCAATATTCAGATTGGTGGTGCCCAATATTGAGCGAGCTTTATGACATTTCCTGACATGATGAACACTTTTTTGGAGTAATTTTTATGGCCTGAAGGTTGCATAATTTATTTGTACATTGTCAACGCTATACATACTGAAGCACAAAAATATTAATATAGCTATTGTTGTTTTGTATTTACTCTCTTTTTTCTGCAACAGCTTCTTTGAAAAACTATAAAGTATATGCCTGGTTGGGATTGTCATGGCCTTTAGTTAAAAGGCAAGTATTTCTTTATATAATGTTTTTTGGTAGTGTTGCAATCTAATTTAAACTCTCATGGTATTATGATCTGTTGACAATGATGCTACCAAATTAACTGCGAACAGTGAAGTTTATTGACATATTGCCTATGGTGGGCTATCTTGAAAGTTGGAGGCTTTATGTCATTTTACTGTAATCAAATATGATCACTTGTAGTAAGATTCATTAACTATCATGATGTATTTGCATTTTTTTTTTTTTGAAAAATACTATATTTACATTTTTTTTCAATGTTTAGTAAGATAAAAAGTCACATTCACAATTGTTGCTTGAACCATATTTGATTTGCAACGGTTGGATTGCTAATTTGTGAGTGTTGGAAGCTCAAAGGTTAGTGGAGATCAAGGAAGACAAGAGCTTCACATAACAGTGTTTATTTAGAAGTTCAAATTTATTTTAAGATTTAAAAAAAAAAATTAATTTAGGCTTTCATTTATTTATTTCCTTTTGTGGGAGAAGGTGTAATGAATTATCAAAACTTTTGGCACGATTAAGAACTAAGTTTTCTCCATACCTTTCTTTTTCTCACTCTCTCTGTAGAATCTATTTCCATCTCTCTTTTTCTTCTTCTTCTTTCTATTTAAGATTTGACTGCTGTTTTGAGTTATTTCAGTGTTGCAATCATTGGAGCATGATGTTAGAAAGGAGCTCACATCAGTGAAATTGAGTGCAAAGGCACAACCAAGTTTGTGAAAACCACCATTAAGACACAAATGGCTTCATTTAAGGTTGTTTGCTTGAATTGCTAGTATCCACAATAAAACATCAAAGTAATCTTTAACATATGGCCTCTATAGTCTTTGTAAAGTTAATAATTGTTCTTAGTGTCTTCTCTCTTCTATGAGGAGAGCATGCCCGTAGTAGGGAGGCACATCTGGCGCATCAGGATCGAGGCAGACTCAGAGCCACCAACATGCTCTTTTAGTGCAGACCTCATGAGCTATATAGGGAGCACCTTGGCTTAGTCAGTACAGTAGGCCTATGCTCCGAGAGATAAGCAGGTTGATCAGAGGCCACAAGGGCGCGTGCACACTATTACAGCGCCAGAGTAGTTGCAAGGATCCTTTGTTGTGAGAGGTAATTTTGTAGTGTTCAATTCTTTGGCTAGTGTATCGATTGATATGGGTGCATTGCATTCATTTATATCTACTAATTTTGCTATTTTAAGGTTAGAGATTGATCAGTTGGAGTCACCATTGTAGGTTGAGTCATCGGTTAGGGGTAGAGTGGCATTGGGGCTAGGGGGCGATGCAATTCGAGCAGTTTAAGAGTAAAATTACAAACCGAATGATAGGTTAGCAGATTGACAAATTTCGGTTAGCAGATTGACAGATTAATTATCATACATTTGCATGATATATAACACTAATTTGTATAATATTTTTTAGATATATAACAAAAAGTAATTTTACATAATATGTTTCATATATATAACCACTAATTTGTAATAAATTTCATATCTTAAAACTCTCTCACACTCATTTTTACATTAATATTTCATTGGAAGTTAAAAAATATATATGTATTAACTATAGCGGAGCAAAACAGTTTGATTGGCAGATTATAAATTTTAAAGTTTAAACCGTGGTTAGTTGTTAAAGCGGTGAGGTTTTAGCGAAATGGGCGGTATTTTGCATAGCCCTAATCGGGGCAACTGTGCCGCTCTTACAAGATTGAGGTCGCAGATCATTGACTCTCTTTTGATTTTATCATCTTAGACATGCATGCTTTTGACGTTATATTGGGTATGGATTGGTTATCACATTTTTAGGACACAATAGATTGTTAGCAACACAGAGTGTCCGCATGCACACCTACCTGGGATTGTTTTTATTTTCTATGTCATAAAGACGATAGTTCGATCCCACCATTGTATGACCGTAAGGGTTGTGGAGGGCTTAACTTTCTTTTCCCCATTTCCTTAGTAGAAGTTTTCTCTGGTTCATACACATGATGCAAAATGAAATTAATACAATTAAATAAAAATACCATTAGGCTTACGTTAATACATAAAGAAAAGTGCTTAACCCTTAGTACATCAATGGCATTCCGCCTACATGAACTAGGTCCCTTGGCTAACAAAGAAAGGAGATCCTTTGATCTTGAACTACTCTTCAACCTTATACCTAAAAAAAGATTAACAACATGGGATGAACAAGAATATCTAGTAGAAATCCCAATTATTTTAAACAACAACAAACCTAGATATATATATATATATATATAAGATCATGAATGCTCTACGTTATAAATATATATGTTGTGTCACTTTTCGTATTCGAAATAGATATACAAAAGTATACTTTTCTCCAAATAACTCTTTTTTAACATTACAAGAAACAAAACCACTTCTTATCTTTCCAACTTATCTTTAATTTATCACAAGTTTTACAGACTTCAGTTATAAATTTAAAACCATATTCATAAGCATAATCTCATCATCTCATACCAAGCCTAACTATCATCATAATACACAAATGGTTATAAAACTAACTACATACAATAATCCCTTGTCACAATATCAACGAATACATGTATCTCAATAAGATCGTGCAAATAACAACTAATGAAAATCACATCTCATAATTATAACTTCATCAAGCCATTCCAACACACACTTTACAGGGCTATAGCCAGAAGGAAACGAAACCTGTCTCAAAGCGCCACACTTTACTGATGGCTAGCCGAAAGGAAATAGAAGGAAACGGAAGGAAATGAAACCGATCTCAAGGTGCCA